ATGACCCGTTAAGAATGTGTGCCTTTCAAAAGTGAGGGGGAAAAAATACAAAATTAATTCCACCCATTCTCATTCTACCAATAAATTATGTGATTCATTTAATCCCTTAGTGATCCCACAGCCTTCATCAAGCCTGTGCACGGACCATATGTTGATGTTAAAATCTCCCTGAATTTAAAAACTGAAGGAAAGCTTGCAGTTACTTTTTCAAATCAGAAATGATGTAGTGATTCAGATTTTTCCAGTCGGGAGAAAGTTGTTGCAGCAGCATAGTCTGGACTTGCACATCAGGACCATGCAGAAGTCCATATGATGCCGACTCTGCGCAACTTTTCTGGGAAGTTGAAACTATGGATAGGCAGTTTACCTGGTGTCTGGAATCCTCTGGAAAAGTATCTTACTCAGTGAGATTTGGAGACTTTGGATGTTCTGACTCCCCCGAATAGTTAGCCTGGAAAGTTTTTAGGAGAATTAAAAGCTGCCTTGACTCCTGGCCATCTGTAAACAAGAACCTTCAATCCACCACTTGTGGAATTTACGGCCCAATTGTCTGGGTACTAGTAGTCCCAACAGCTCAAAATCAATACATCCGCAGGCTCAATCCCTCTGATTTGGACAGTTAACAAAAGAAGCTGCAGAGAAGCCACATTCATACAAGCAGGTGTGAACAGCCGCCATTTTGCATTCCAATGTGTATCAATGGCTTTTAACTTCAAATCATTAGTATGAATTGTAGAAGAATTGATCACAATTGACTTAAGATAGTAAATCTTACTCCAAGCTGAGATGAGGCAATCTGGAAACCAACAGCACATAAGTGGGACTGTTTGTCTTCTGAGAAGAACAGAACCCTTTGTGAACAACTAGCCAACCCAGGCAGTGAGGAGAGAGGCTAAGCTGTTTCATCCACAAAGGATCCCCTCTACAGAAACTTGGTCGTGATCTAGAGATCTAAAAATCTACCGTTCCTAGTTTCCATTCATCTAAAGAGTCATGTGAGTGCACCCATCTAGGGCTGCAGTGCATGAATTTTTAAGGACTGAAATGTAAACATGGGACTTGTTTCTTATTCCTGTAAAGAAAACTTAAATACATGCGTTGTCTCTAAATCTATCTTTACTTAGTGCACATGCAGAACTTAGTGTTTTTCATTACATTCACATTTTGTGGTTTTGTCACTAGTCATCACCTTTTTCTTCTGAATTAAAATTATCCAAAAACCTATTCCGTGCCTAATAGTAAAAGTCAGAACACTCAAGGTTTAAAATGCTCCCTCAAACATGCATCTTTTTGCAAACAGCTGACAAATTAAAAGAGGAAAAGGTGTCCCACAGATAGCAAGAACTGCAGATGCAGGAGTCAGAGATAACAAAGTGTGGAGCTGGAGAAACACAGCAGGCCAGGCAGCATCAGAGAAAAATTCTGAAGATGGGTCCCAACCCGAAACGTCAACTTTCCTGCTTCACTGATGCTGCCTGGCCTGCTGTGTTCCTCCACCTCCACGCTTTGTTATCAAAGTTATCCCACAGTCTTTCTTCCTGTCCAATGTAACTTCGTCCTCCCAGGATATCAGAGCTTAGATGCGATCTTTAGGTTGTGGGATTGCCAACCTGTCTATTGCACGTTGTTTCCTCTCACTACCCCTCCAATGTAATTATGTGGGACTGCTGAAACCTAGCTTCATTGTTCATCTCTCGTCATAGCCACACAATCACTTATTATGGCTTATGCTCCTAATCCTGCGCTGTAATCTCTGGTGTCCCCCAAGGATTTATTTTTGCTGTCTGCTACTTCTGATCTATATGCTATCCTTGGTAACATCATCCAGAAGCTGAAACAATTTTATCCCCACTGCGAAGCATCTGCAGTTCCTACTATCCAGAAGCAAAGCTTTCATTTTCCCATGTAAGCCGATGGCAAACAAATCTATGACACCGCTCTTGAGTCCCACACTCTCTTGCTAAATTACAGGCAGCTCATTTGACATGCAGCCCTGTGCAGATGTTTCTTCCAGTGAAATATTGGGAAGACTAAATAATTCTGTCATACACATATAGTTCATGTGTTTTAGTGGTGTCACTTTTAGTTGTAGGAATATGACCTTTTTTTAAGGTTGGAGTTAAATGTAAGATAAATGGGAACACTAATGTTCTTTAGGGAAGGAAGTTGCCATCCTTACCTGGTCTGGCCTACATGTGACTCCAGACCCACAGCAATATGGTTGACTCGTAACTGCCCTCTGGGTAATTGGGAATGGGCAATAAATGCTGGCCTAGCCAGCAATGCCCTCAGCCCGTGAATGAATAAAAAAAACTTGGTTGAGGAACTAGTAAACAGCTCTGAGGTAATTATTGTTTATTCAATAGGAGGGTGAAAGTCATAAAAATGACAGGTACCCTTCGTTTTAGCTGGAGATCTGCAGACAGTAAAAATGTAAAAAATTGCATTAACTTAATAAATTTAAGGTATTCCGATGGACCTTGGGGGCTAAATAGCCTGATTTTAGAAACTAAAAGTTCATGTAAAAATCAATTAAATAACTCAATTACCGTCTACCGTGGGGATAAATGATTCAGAATGGATCCATGATTGGAATTCTGGGAAGTTATCTGTGGGATTTTTCAGTAGATCTTTCTTCGAGATTGGAGCAAAAAGCATCCAAGTTAGTGGGTGTAAGCCCTGACCTCAGCAGGCAGAAAGAAAGTCCAAGAACTGCAAATCAGAGCAAGAGGGCTGTCAGAAATTGAGCCAATTTCCCATGTGGTAAGACACTAAGTGAGAGAGTAACGGAGGACATGCTTGAACTGAAGTACGAAGTCATGAGGTGCTTCAGAAATGTTGGAGAATCATTTTTTCAATCTGCCTTCAAGAATACAAGGCACAAAAAGCATTTTGAGAGTAGTGGCACATGTTGTGCTTTGTTGGAACACTACAGTAGGCCCAGCATAAAAATGATTCCATGGGAGTGCCGTGGCTTATTGAAATGGCATAATGGAGCTTCCCACATAGTGCTATCAGCCTAATGAATTATATTTTGGTGCATTTCATCCTCAATCCTTATACAATATGTACAAATTGATGATTGTCAATGTAATTTAAACAATAGTTTCCTAATTGGCTTTGTGAATACTTAGGATCGGAGATGATGACTATGTGAGAGGTTAGCAGGAGAGCGAAACACTTCCATTAAAAAAAGCTTATGACCCATCACACTAACTTTTTGCACCTGGTGAAGTTGTTTGTTCAAACAGTTGCATAAAGTTAGAGTGATGGGTCATAAGCTTTATTTAACTGGAATGTTTCACTCTCCTGTTAACCTCTCTCGCATAGTCATCAGTCTTTGATCCTTTCTAAGTAGTCCAGAATCCCTTTTCTCCCCAAAGTTCTCATCATCCACCAACTAATCTCTTCCTCCATGGTTCACAATCCTTTCCCTGCCATTTTCCACTGCAGACTCCTTGGAATCTTTTACATTATGTTAAAGAGAGAACATGAATGCAAGCTTATTTGAATTTGATATTCAGGTCACTAATATTGACTCATTAGTTCAACTGTTTCTGTTAAGATACAACACGTTTAAATGTTGGTACCATTGTGCATTTACGTATATTATGTTTTATTAAATGATGTGTGAATTTCCTAAATCTCAGAATAATCAAATTGTTAAGGGGTAAGAGACCATTCGGCCCATTGTGCCTACACTGGCTCTTCAAATGAGCACTATTACATCGATTGAGATCTCAAAAGTGAGATATTTTTTGGAAATGGAAATACTGAACTTCTGACCTAAGTCTCTTGCCCTGCATCATTGCATGAAAAACTATCAAACCTGTCTAGGTCTGGTTGACTTCTTTGCACCATTTAGTAGCGGGAACCTGGAAGGCTTCTCTCAGGTGTAGAAACTGACTACATGATAGATTCAGGGTCTGGAGGAACTTGTTGTAAATGGAAGAGGGGTTTTCTTGGAACTCATAATTAGTTAAAGTCTGCAGCCTTGAGCAATTGACAGTTGCTCCATCTGACTAGATAAGTCCACCTTAAGCCAGCATCCTATACTCTAGAAAGTGACCAGTAGTTGATCACTTGTTGCACTTCTTCATACAAAAGGCCAGATGAGGTGATGGTCATCTTTTCTTGAATGGCTAGTCCTTAAATCCTTTGGGATTTTTTCCCTCATGAACCTACAGAGATACTAGGAGTCTGTGTCAGAATTTGGGAATCCCTGCCGTAGCATAGCAAAGGCAAGAAGTTAACAAAACTTGAGTCAAGGAAAATCTTTTCATCTTTTGTCACCAGACCAGCTCGTCATAGATTGGGTACAATCTGTTTAGTCTCCTTGACACAGTGCAACTGTAATGACTTACTGCGTTGAATTGGACATAAATGACAACTTGAGTTTTCAAATCTGAATCATTCATATCTCTTTTACATCATAACCAGAGTTTAACGCCCAAACTGTCCTTTTGAATATCTATTTTGTCAGTCTATTGGATTTCACTTATTGGGCTGATGGATTGAACTTTGACAGAAACTTCAGACAATTGGGAGACATTGTGGCTCATGGCGACTCAGTAGTTAGTACTGCTGCCCGTCAGTGCCAGGGAGCTGGGCTCAATTCCAGGCTTTGGTGACAGTCAGACTATGTGGAGTTTGTACGTTCTCCCTGTGTCTGTGTGGGTTTCCGACAGGCACTTCGGTTAGGTGGGTTGACCATGCTAAATTGTCCCATAGTGTCTGCGGATATGCAGGCTAGTTGGATTAGCCACGGTAAATTTGGGGCTGTGAGGATAGGGTGGGGGTGCTGGGTAAGCACGGGATGTTTTTTGGAGGATTGGTGCAGGACTTGATAGGCTGACTGGCCCCTTTCCGCACTGTAGGGATTCTTTGATTCTATAATCAACCTCACTGATAATTATTGTATTCACAGTCATATTCTCTTTTTTTTTAAAGGAAGTGTGTGCTATACAAAGTTCCTACATTTTGCTGTTCTTTATTAACAGAACGTGCTACAGATGGATCCCTGCAGACTGAAGACTGGGGTCTGAACATGGAAATTTGTGATATTATTAATGAGACTGAAGAAGGGTAAGACTTGCATAGGGAAGGTATTAAATGCTCGAATAAGAATGTTAACTATAACATTAGAAGGAACAAATAATACAGCACCTAAATGAGGTAATTTATTAACGGCTGTGGTCTTTCTCAGCCCTTCAAAAACCCACTGGAACTGAATGTGCACCAGCTTGGGGCTGTGTTATGTTATTTCACATTGTTTGAATGTTCTGTGTTTTCCTCTGGTTTGAGAACATTATTTCAAGAGTTACATTAATATAGATTGGCCATTTGTCCAATTTTGAATAAAGTTGTCCAGTTTTTGGTTGAGTTGATTATGTAAATTTAAAATAAGCTTTTGTTTTAAATCTGATGGAATATGAGCATCAATGGCTCGGCCAACATGTATTGTCCGGAGGTCAGTTAAGAGTCAACCACATTGCTGTGGATCTAAAGTTGCATGTAGGCCAGACCAGGAAAGGATTATTAATAATGGGCATTAGTGAAACAGCTAAGTTTTTACAACCATCAACAATGGCTACATGGTCACTGTTGGGTCTTTCTTCATTAAATTCAAATTGCACTATCTGTTGTGATGGTATTCAAACCCATGCTCCCAGACCATTAGCTTGGGTGTTCGAGATTACTAGTCTAGTGACACTATCAATATGCCACCACCTTATCTAATCTATTGTGTTTTTTTCCCTCCTGCCACTTTGGTTGTCAGCTTTGAACTTAACAAAAGCTGGGAACTCTACAATGATCCAGAAGCTTCAATCAGATCCCTCCTCATAATTTGATCCTTGGATTCCAGGTATTCTAGTAAATCTACATTGGGTTCCCTCCAAGGCCAGTGTATCTTTCCTGACTTATGGTGCCTAAAACTATTCCAGATGTGCTGTGGATGCTCATTGACTTCTCAGGAATGCTACCTATTAACCTGCTGGGTCACTTTTTCCAGCAAAATATTACCCCAGTGGCTATGCCTTCATTGTTCCCCTTTTTTGCCCATCTCATATTAATTTATTTGGCTTAATTTATTTGTATTTATTTCTCCCTTAACTGTAATAATTTCCAGATCTCTGCTCCCTTTGAGAAAGGGATCTGTGAGTTAACTACCAGTGCTGCCTCATCTACCTGTGGAAACTTTTTTCTTACATGTGGCCCTTGGTGGAGATAGGAGGAATATCTCTGCTTTCAAAAGTGGTCTCTCAAGTGACTTTATCTAACTATTGGAAACAAGTTGCTTGACCGTTTCAAACTCAAGTTTGTCTCTGGGGAGTTCAGAATTTCTATTGATGAACATCTGGCATGAGCTCAAGTGCAGGATAGTTGGCGTAGTCACCTTTTGATAGAGACCCAATTGTAGAAACCAGAGGAGCTGGCTGTTTCTTCACTTTGTAAATTCAGTATACTTGCAGAACTACATTTTCTCCATTTTTGGAACCCCTTCAGGTTTATCCACAAGGAATTAAAACTTGGGTGAACTACTTGAGTATTGGCAGTGCTTGTGCAATATATCTTGGAAACAAAAGTCAGAACTCTTATTAAATAATAAGCTTTCTCAAAAAGAAAATGGTCTTCCTATGTCCTTGAAAGTAAGTATGATATTTCAGAACTGATTGGGTGAATATAAGAATCTGTGGTTCTAGTTTCTTAATAATTGCATCAAGTTCATTCCAGAAGTCATTTAAAAAGGCATGTTCAGTACCTTTTTACATCCAACAACAATTGCATATCATTGTTAATACAAGTGTCATGTGCATTTGTCTCATTCACTCACTAAAACTGCCTAAGCTATGAATATCCGTCATATTTGTTTATCTGCCACCTGAGGTCACTGGTGTATGTGAGCACACAAAAAAACTTAGTTTTGAGGATGCGATGAGTTGAACTGATAAAAATAAAAATTGTGGCTATCATTTCCTTACTAGAATTGTTTTTGTGCACATTGCTTGAGAGAATTAAGTCTTTTTTTTTTCTTAAAAGATGAGAATTATCCTTTTTGTAGGCCAAAGGATGCAATCAGGGCTCTGAAAAAAAGGCTGAGTGGAAATAAAAACTACCGGGAAGTGATGCTTGCTTTAACGGTGAGTTGGAAAAAAAATCTTCTTCCCTATACATCTGAGAAACACCTTGAAGTATTTGACTCTTTTAAGGAGTCATCACTGTTGTTACGTTGGCAAACAGTGACTAATGTATCTTTGATTCTTACATCGAGCAATGAGGTATATGGCCATGAGAGAGTTTTTGGTGATTTCAATTGAGGGACAAATGATGGCCAAGACACAGACGACTGCCAGTTTACATTGGGTAGATCTGTAAGATTTTTAACATCTAGTTGAAAAAGTAGATGGTGCCATGATTAATGTCTCATTGAAATGATGGATTTACTAGTGCATTGTCCAGTTCATTTGCTGTTCCACAAGTCTGGGGAAAAATATCTTATGCCTTTATATGATACAAGAATAACCAAGTACACTTAAATTCCAGTCAACCATTTTATCTCTCTTCCAACCATTTCAGCAGCTACAGTTTCTCCCCACAACCTCTTGTAATCATGTTTTAGCCTTTCTTGGATGTCATGTGTCAGTATTTGTTTGAGTAATAATCATCGCCATCAAAGATGGGCAGAATAGTATCTTCACCCATCCATTAATGTGTTTCTCAAAAACTATTGGATGAAATTCCACAAAACTTGTAACTCTTTTTGGTTGAATATTTCTGACTGGGCCAGCATTTATTAACCATCCCCAGCTGCCCTTGAACTAAGTGGCTTGCTAGACCAATTCAAAGGGCAGGTAAGAGTCAACCATGTTGCTGAGAGATCTGAGTCAAATGTAGGCAGACAGCTTTATTTCCCAAAAGGGCATTGGTGATGCACCTGGGTTTTTCTGACAAATGACGACTGTTTCATGGTCATCATTTGACTTTTGGTTTTTATTTATTTGACTTTTAATTGTTGGTTTATAGAGTCATAGAGTTACATAGCATGGGAACAGACCGTTCGCTCCATCTTGGCCGCACCAACCAGATATCGTAAAGTGACCCAGTCCCATTTGGCCCTATCCCTCTAAACTCTTCCTATTCACGTACCCAGCCAGATGCCTTTTAAATATCCGCCTCCACCACCAGTTCTGGTAGCTCATATATATATATATGCGCCATCCTCTGTGTGGAAAAGTTGGCCCTCTGGTCCCTTTTAAATGCACACGCACCACCCGCACCGCACCCCGTTAATTTTAAACCTATGCCATCTACTGTCGACTCCCCTACCCTGGGAAAAGGACTTTGCCCGCTCACTCTATCTATACCCGTCATGACCTTATCAACCACTATAAGGTTACCCCTCAGCCTAGGTCATGAGAAAAATCCTAGCCTATTCAGCCTGTTTTTACTGTATTAATGTACTCTATATTCCACCATCTCCTATGATGGGATTCAAATCTGTCTTCCTGAGACATTACCTGCGTGTCTGGATTACTAGACGAGCAACGATACCAGTACACTATTGCCTCCCCAAGTATGATCCATGGAAGATTAGATTAGTTTTTGGAGGATCTACAGATCTGATACCAAATGTTTTTAAACGATCTGATATTGTGAGATAGGGACAGCTTGCTGTTTTTTAGAATGTTATCGATTATATTGGTTGTCGTGATATAACTTAGATTGAGTTTTCTGAGCTGGATGTTGATTATGGACTGGCCTGAAGCCTTTTCAGTGGAAGAGAAGCTTTTTTTTAAAAAGTGGTAACTTTGGAATCTTTGCAGTTACAGACCATCAGCCTCGCAGGAGAAAGCCTTGATGAAAATTTGACATAATGATAAAAACATTGAGTTTACACAGTGCTGCTAAGAATGCACTCCACTCAGTCTCCTTTTTACTGGGTGAAGAACAGATTGGCTGTTGACGCTTGAGGTTACTTGAACTCTAAATTTATTCCTTTTGAAGATTGGATGTAGAAGTCTAAACTTTCAAAATACAGTAATAATGGTTTCTGGCAATTTTTTAAACTCTTCCATTAGATTTGAGAATTGTTACTGCCCATCCCTAATTACCCTTGAATGGAGTAGCTTGCTAGGTCATTGTAGAAGGCAGAGTAACCTCATTGCCGTAAATCTGGAGTCTTCTGTAGGCCAGACCAAGTAAGGATGCCGTAGATATTCTAATGGGTTTTTATCACTGATAGTTATCGTGGTTACTCACTATTACTGAGACTAGCTTTCAATTCTGATTTTTTTAAAAAGTGAATTTAAATTCCTCCAACTGCCATGATGGAACTTGAACCCATGACCCCAGAGGTTTAGTCTGACCTTAATTTGCTGACAATGAGATGATCCATGAGATTACCAGTCTGCATGTGGTGTACTCAAACTTGGTGAATAAAATATATCTTGTGTAACTTGTCAGTATTTTCAGCATGGTGCTTAAGAATGGTGTTGCAAATGGCAACTAACAGAATTAATGTCTAATTCTCTAAGGTTGTGGGTGTTGATGTTGATCGGCTCGCCGAGCTGGTTTGTCGTTCCGCAGACGTTTCATTACCCTTCTGGGTAACATCATCAGTGCAGCCTCCGATGAAGTGTCGGTGTGTTTTCCCGCCTGATTTTTAAACTCTGGAGTCCATTGAGCTGGATTGCCTCACTTCCGGTTTTCCTTTGTAGTGGAG